TAAGCACAAATTATGCCTTCAATTCTGCAGTTGCAAGCTTTATTTACATGAAAATATAGATACAACACATGCCGTGTGAATTTTAATACACATATAACACACATTTAATACACACATATTTTACACAGTATACAGTATTTCGTTACTTTTTACTTGATGTTAAATGAATTAATATAACAAAAACTATAGATTTTGCTATTTATTGCAAGATATATATATATGGAAGGCCAATAGGAACTGATAAGGATAGTCACAAAGATTATAGATTGATTTTCGGATACAATTGAAAAAGTAAATTTATTTACGTAGCTGGTATATCGTTCATAAGGGAGAATTACCAAATTTTGACCGAAAAAATCTTTAATTTTTTTTTTTTTGTTAATTTACGATCAATATCTTATCGTTGTCTTTTTCAGTATCATTTTCTTTTCCAATACCATCATTATCATTTTCAAGCACTTCGACAATCATTTGTTCACCTAACATCATCAATACTTCAACAAATTCGTTCCATTCTGTCTGGTCCAATTCATCCATTACCTCATCTATTTTACTGGCAACCATATTTTGCGAAACATTTCCATCAGCTGTCAGTTTTATTATTCCAAGAGCAACTTCCTTGACTCGTTCACTTTTGGATGAATTGATAACTTTTTCTTTGAATATTTCGTAAGACATATTTTCGTATCGCATCTCTTCCTCAAGGTATTCTTCATATTGATCCTGTAATTTATCAATGTTTTCTGGAACTTCATCAAGTTTTCATAATAAATTTTAACTTATTTTTCATTTAATTTCCTTATTTATTTATTTGCAAAATCAGCAAGGCTTGCTAGTAATACATTGCTAGTAGTCTAAGTAAGCCTATCAGATTTTTAAATAAATGTTTTGATGAAATTCCAAATTATATCTATTCCGTTTCAATTCTCTTTACCACCATCAATGGATACTATTTCGAAAAATGAACCAGATAATTGATTTCTTTCACCTTATGTAAATGTTAAGCGATTTGTTAGCTAATCATTATAGTAAGGTTGTCACAATGTGACATGAGCACTTTTCATGATTTCTCTTCATGGAGTAATTAATGTAATCATCATGGAATATTACCCAAAGCAGTCATTCCTTCACTTCATTTTAACTAGAAAAAAAAAGTAAATAAAACAAAGTAGCCCGTAAAGATTAACTTATCCAATACTGACCAAAACTCCATATTTTGCTCCCCATTTTTTTGATCATATCGTTTAATTCATTTCTGGACAATTCCGGATTATCAACGAGACCACAATATTCTTCTCGAGCTTCTTCCGCTTCTGGTATAAATGGAGG